AACCGGTCTGGGATCCCGGAGGGACGAGAGGAAGAACCATAGAAAATGAGCTTAGGAGCTTGTCCTGATTTCTGTTGGTACCAGGCAATGTTGCTGCTGATGCTTGTACTGGCTTTGCAGTTGATGGTGACTCTGTCTCCTGGAGACACTGCGAGGGATTCTGGCGTCTGGGTCATCACAATGTCTCCACTGGCACCTGTAAGTGAAATTGAAGTGTAAATCCGGCTCTGCCTGTAGTAGTACCGAATAGAGTAAGGCTTTAAATTGCCATAATATTCTTATTTACTGTGATTTTATTTAATATCAAAGCATTTCAGTTCTGTTCTTGATGTAGCTAAAGTGTATGGAGGCGTAAAATGAGAATTTGCGTCTTTTACAAGTCGTTCCTCATTTTGTTCTGATGATGCTCTGTAGCTTATTGTCCATCACTTTGTGCCTTATTTAAAAATTCTAGTATAATACTCACCCTTCATACAGAAAACCAGCACACACATAAGCAGAGTATATGACCTCATCTTGAGAGCTCTCCACTGACAGCTGCTGCTCAGTGTACCATGAGATGTGACATGGAGCCGTTATAACTCCTCTGAGGTACAGGGTAATGCCACTCAGGCATGGATATGCAAAATAAGCATGGATATGCAAACGTCCCTATCACCTGTCCTGGGAGTTGCTTGATTTGGGTGCCTGAAGGCACTGAAGTCTGTGATATTACATTAGCCTTGAGAACAGGCTCTGATTTACTTGTCTTTGGACAGGTCCCTACTGTTCAAACAGTCCTGTTAATAATACACAATGCAAGTCAGGGTGTCAGAATTGGTCCTAATTGATGTCTGTTTTCAGGCTCCACAAAGCGTATGCACGGAGACACTTCTCACTGAATATAAAAGGAAACATGCTTGAAAAGACAAGAAGGAATCTGGTAGCACCTTAAAGACTAAGGCTACGTCTACACTGGCACCTTTTTCTGGAAATTCTTAAAACGGAACAGTTTTCCATTATAAGTATTTCCGGAAAAAGAGCGTCTACATCGGCAGGATGCTTTTCCGGAAAAGCCCCTTTTCCGGAAAAGCGTCCGTGGCCAATGTAGACGCGCTTTTCCGGAAAAAAGCCCCGATCGTCATTTTCGCGATCGGGGCTTTTTTGCGGAAAAGACTACCGTGCTGTCTATACTGGCCCTTTTCCAGAACAGTTTTCCAGAAAAAGGACTTTTGCCCGAGTGGGAGCAGCATAGTTTTTCCGGAAAAGCAGCTATTTCTTACAGTAGATCGTCAGTGCTTTTCTGGAAATTCAAGGGGCCAGTGTAGACAGCTCGCAGCTTATTCCGGAAAAGCGGCCCAGTGTAGACACAGCCTAACAGTTTTATTATGGCATAAGGTTTCATGAGTTAGAAGTCACTTCACCAGATGCATGAAAGGAAAAAGAAATAGATAGTGGGGATACAGAGATGGGAGTGTTTGCTCTGATGTAACATTCCAATATCTGTATCCCTGCTACAAGTTTACTTTCTCTAGTCTAGAACTCTGTGTCCAGAAACATCCATAATCCAGAATGATTTTACTTAGCCAGATGTCCACTTTCATGGGCATGGCCAAGTTTCCCACTGTTCCATAAAGTTTGTTTACAGCTACCGCTCTCAGTGTTCTGTGCTATTATTTAGCTCCAATTTACTCCTAAATCTCCTCTAACAGCCCAGTAAGCAGTGGAAGTGTTAGTAATTCTCCTAGATAATATTGTCTTTCCGTAGACGGGAAATTTCTCTGGCTTGGAACTGGCAAGGACCCGAGGGTGCCAGACGAGAGAGCTTCAATCTGCATCTGCCACAAAACTAGAGAGGTTTATTCTGTACAGAGTAACTTGGCTACCCCCTGAAGTGGATTCCTTGTTACCTTTTCAAGCATGTTTCCTTTTATGTTCAGTGAAAAGTGTCTCCACACACATGCTCTGTGGAGCCTGAAAACAATCTTCAATTAGGACCAATTCTGACACCCTGACTTGTACTGTTGAGTTCAGTTTTGATATTTTGAAAAGTCCCTGCTCAGTGAGTTACACTGAAGGACAATAAAAAGCTGATTGCTATTTACAAGTGGTGCTGAAAAGAGATCCAGCCCTCTAATAGTCACTTCCTATTGATCATAATCTCACCTCCTTATTAAGGGGCACTTACACAATTTATGTGTGTGACTTGTACTACTCTATAGTGTGTGTACTAGTGAAATTAGATTATCACCCAGTAGAGGACAGGCGTTATCTAATATTGGTTGCCAACAAATGCACGTTTAAACTACTACTACATGGGACTTTTCACAACAGCAATAGTAAGCCATTGTCACGACCAAAGGAATCGCTAACTGCTTAACACCATGGCTGCTGAAACAACACCTACTATCCGGTCCAAGGGCAAAGACGATAATTCTTTTTAAACAGGAAAGACTAATAAAAGCAGTTTTATAAGCACAATTTTGCTGGGTCATTTTTTCCACTTTTAGTGATGACAATAGACACCTGGCCGTGTAACACTGTCAAATCAATACAATCTAACCTCTCTGGATCTCCCAGAAAGTGGAATATCTCAGCACTTTCTAGTCAGCATTCATTGTCAGTGTCATTACTGATTAGAGATTCTGGCAGAATTTTTTTTCATTGCACATTTATTTCTTGCACAGAATGATTTTATACATGCAACAAAGACATTCTCTTACACTGACATTACACCTGAAAATCTGTCGCTGTCTTCAATTTTGTCAGCAATTTTTCAGTGAGATAAGACTGTATTACTAAATTGGCAAGGAAGCCAACTCAGTGGTTAGCAGTTTCCACTTTTCTGCATACATTTTTAACTTATACATTAGGTCAACTTCTGATGTGGTGCTTCTTATCAAAGGAATCTGCTTCCAAAGCCTCCAACCTGGGGTTTTCTGATTTACTGAGTTATGTTCTAACTATCTGAAATCCATAAAGAGAAAGTATTGTACTGTGTAAAACTATCTATCTATCTGAGGAGGGGTGGGGAACCTTTTTTGGGGGTCAAGGGCCGCTTACCCATAGAAAAATCAGTTGGGCCCAGGCTAGTAGATTTTGTGTGCTGCAGCCCCGTGGGGGGAACAGTAGAGGGCTTTAGTACCAGTGCAGGCTTCCCCGTGTTGAGGGGGAGCCCCAAGTCTCAGGGGCCAGATCCATGCCCCTGTATTAGATATTTGTGCACCTGTCTGTGAGTCCATCTCTCTGTGTGTCTGTCTAGAAGTGCATTTGTTCAAGAGCTCCTTATGAATGGGAAGAAAGAAATTAGGTATGCAGTTTCCACCTTCCTCTGTAGGTGGTCCGGTCGCTCAGGGCTTGGCTTCTGGTTCACTCCCTGATAGGGTTGCCAGGTGTCTGGTATTCACCCAGCCAGTCCAGTATTTTCGCTTCCTGTCCGGTAGAAAATTCAGAGAATACCGGACACCTGAGATGTCTGATATTTTCAGAATTTTTCCCCAGCCAGGAGGCAAAGATGCTGGACACCTGGCAACCTTACACACTCAGCGCCCAGCCTGCCCCCCTCTGGACCCCAATGCCCCCAGTCCCATACTTACCTGGTTCGCAAGGCTGCCAGCACAAATGGCTGCTGGCCAAAAGACCTAGGGGATGCTAGCAATGCTTCCCCTGGGTCTTAGTGCTCAACCGCACCCTGTTCCTAGCCCTGCACTTAAAGGGGACATGCTGTTTTAATGCAGTTTTATTTTAATTTTTTTTTTGGCTTAATAAGTCCTTGGAGTCTCTTTTTTTTTTCAATAACTTTGGTCTCCCTGCACCCTTTGTCCCCCTTCAACAGAATTTTTTCCTGGTGTTTTTTTTTTTTTTTTTTTTTGGGGGGGGGGGGGGTGTTTGGTAATTTTGTTTCAACCATCTGCAACCCTACTCCCTGAGTCTAACGCTGGCCCTCTCTCTGGCCTCAGCTGCTGCAGGAACACCGGGATTGCTGCCTGTGCCCTTCTACCCTCCAGCTGCCTCCTTTCCTGCAGAGCTCCCTCTGCCTTTATACTCCAGCTCTGCTGGGAGCAGGCCCAGCAGGGCTGGAGGGGCGGGGCTCTTTCAGCCAGCTGGGCCTGGGCTACTCCCAACCCTTCAGTGGGGGGCCTGTTCACCTTGTCACAGGCACCCAGAGTGGTCATGGTGGCCCAGCCTGTGTAGATTTCCCCCTTCCCCCACCCTTGGCCAGCCCAGAAAATGCCGGCACGAAATTCCTGCATAGCTCCAGTCTGAGGGCTGGGCCACTCCTCTCAAACTCCAGCCCTGAGCCAGTCCCATTCCCAAACCTTGCACCACCCCCCAACCTCATCCCTGCCCTAGACCCACATCCAGTCTCTATCCATCTCAGGGAACATGGGCGGGATGCCTCTACCCCTCATTACCCCAGCTGAACCTGGGCAATACCAGGTAAGCCTTCTAATTTACGTATAAGTTAGGAAGGTTAAAAAGCAGGTTTTTTTGTAAATGTGTAGCCACTGAAATTTTCAGAAGCCACACATTTACATGCAGTGGGGGGGAGATGGCACCACGGGAGCTGGTATGCTCGGGAAGCTGGCTTAAAAGCTGGCTCTATATATATGCCTGCCTCTCCCGTGCTGCTGCCTCTGATACAGAGGCAGCAATCTATGTGGAGGGTCAGGGGGGCTCCTCAGGAGCCAGAGCTTGGGGGGAAGTGTGCTTACATGTCAACTCCCTGTGAGCACCAGCTCTTGCCTGTTCCCCCACCCTCTCCTGCTGCTGCTGCCAAACAGCAGCGCCCCTGGGGAGGGGACGTTGAGTATAACTGTGAAGATTAACTAGTGAAGTCAGGCTCATCTGTTAACCATTTAACAGTGTATTCTGTCACATCCACAGTAAAAGTCAGTGTGTTAATCTTCTGCACTGATGGGCCGTGAAAGCTAGAGAGACTCTGACAGAGTCACTGAAATATGGAGTTGCAATAGAAGTAATGAACCGTCACTGAGGGGAGGTTTTTGTACTAGTCTGAATCACTGTGTGAGAGGAAGCTCATTATACTGTTGACAGTAATAACTGCCAGCATCATCAGCTTGAAAACTGGTGATTGTCAAAGTGAAGTCAGTGCCAGACCCACTGCCGCTGAACCGGTCTGGGATCCCGGAGGGACGAGAGGAAGAACCATAGAATATGAGCTTAGGAGCTTGTCCTGATTTCTGTTGGTACCAGGCCACGTAGCTGCTAACACTGGAACTCGCTTTGCAGTTGATGGCGACTCTGTCTCCTGGAGACACCGCCAGGGATTCTGGAGTCTGCGTCATCACAATGTCCCCATTGGTACCTGTAAGTGAAATCAATGTGTAAATCCAGCTGTGTCTGTAGTAGTACTGGATTTAAATTGCAATAGCATTGTTATTAACTACAATTTTATTTAATATCAAACCATTTCAATTCTGTTATTGATGTAGCTAAAGTGTATGGCTGCAGAAAGTGAAAATTGACATCTTTTTACAAGTTGTTCCTCATTTTCTTCTGATGATGCTCTATAGCTTATTGTCCCTCATTGTGTGCCTTAATTAAAAATTCTAATTTAACACTCACCCTTCATACAGAAAACCAGCACGCAGATAAGCAGAGAGTGTGACCTCATTTTGAGAGTTCTTGACTGACAGCTGCTGCTCACTGCACCGTGAGCTGTGATATGGAGCTGTTATAGCTCCTCTGAGCTACAGATCAATGCCACTGGGGCATGGATATGCAAAACAAGCATACCTATGCAAATATCCCCATCACTGATTCTAGAGGTAGCTTGATATGGGTGCCTGAAAGCACTGAGATTTGTGATATTGCATTTGCCATGAGAAAGGACTCTGATTTACTTATCCTGTACAGGGTCCTACTTTTCAAACAGTCTAACTGAAATATTCGGACTGTTCTTTAAATAATACTCAATGGGAGTCAGGCTGCGAGAACTGGCACCAAGTGATGACTGTTTCAGGCTTTGTAGCAAGTTACACTGCAGTATGTTAAACTGAAGGGCAATAAAAAGCTGATCGTGATTTACAACAGGTGCTGAAAAGAGATCCAGCCCTTGGAAACTCATTTCCTACTGATCATAATCTGACTTCCTTATTAAGGGGGACTTGTAGGAGCTAGAGACTGTTTGCACAATTCAAATGTGAGAGTTGTACTACTCTATAGTGTTCATGCACTTGTGAAATTAGATTCTCTCCCAGTAGGGGATAGGCGTTATCTAATATTAGTTGCCAACAAATGCTTGTTTAAACTACTACTACTTGGGACTTTTCACAACCACAAAAGTAAGCCATTATCACAATCAAAGGAATCCTTACCTGCCTAATTGCCTAATGCCAGGGCTACCTGAGACATCACCTACTATCCCATCCAAGGGCAAAGAAGGTAATTATTTTTAAACAAAAAAGACTAAAGAATGCAGTTTATAAGCACAATTTTGCTAAGTGATTTGTTCCATTTTTCGTGATGACAATAGACACCAGGCTGTGTAACAAATCAATACAGCCTAACCTCTCTGAATTTCCCAGAAAGTAGAATATCTTAACACTTTGTGGTCAGCATTCATCATCCGTGTCATTACCCCGTGGAGATGCTGACAGAATTTTTTTCATTGCACATTTATTTGTCACACAGAATAATATTATATACATGTAATAAAAACATTCTTTTACACTGATTGACATTTCCCCTGAAAATCCGTTACTGTTTTCATTTTTGTCCATAGTTTTTCAGCAAGATAAGATTATGTTTCTAAGTTGGTAAGGAAGCCAACTCAGAAGTTAGCAGTTTCGACATTTCTGCAGAAGTTTCTAACTATGCATTAGGTCAGCTTCTGATACAGTACTTCTTCCCAATGGAATCTGTTTCAAAAGTCTCCAAGCTAGGGTTTCCTGGTTTCCTGAGTTTCTTTCTAATCTGCTATATCTGAACTCCAAAATACTGTACTGTGTAAATTATCTAGCTATCTATTAGAGATTTGTGCATTTGTCTGTGAGTCTCTCCATGTGTCCTTCTGCAAGTCCATTTGTTCAAAAACTCCCCTAAATGGAGAGAGCTAAGCTCACCAAACTCGGTATTTAGCTTCCTCTTATCTTAATGTGAGGGCAGGGTTTGGCTGTGACAGGAAAACCGGGTGTGCCTGGAATGGGACTGTTTTCCATAAAATGCAAATGAAAGGGTCAGAGAGAGGAATTACTCACAGTCACCACTGGGGCAGTGACTGCAGGGGAGAGCTACACTGCAGAGTTGCTGTGGGGAGGGGGGGAACAGCAGCACAACCAGGGAGTGGCCAGTTGTGAATGTGGCTCGCAATCGCCTTCTGTTAGCCTAGGTAAGTGGCCTCCCTGTCTCAAATCCTTCCCCCCTAGCCTTCAGCCAGAGCAGTGGATGATGGGGGCAAGGAACCTGGCCCCACCACTGCAGCTCTGCCCCCAGAGCACTATATGAGTCAAGCAGTGCAGCCCCTTCCTCCTACAGGACCCACTGATCCCCTCTCCTGCCAGCACTGCAGGGGTACCTAACATGGCCATGAGCTTCAAGGGGTAGCTGAGTTAGTCTGTTACTGAAAAAAACAACAAATATTTTGGTAGCACTTTAAAGACTAACAAAACATGTAGGTGGTATCTTGAGCTTTCGAGGGCACAGCCCACTTCTTCTGATGACCAGAGTTATGAGTAGGGGATATGAAAACTCGAAATAAATAGGAGAGGGGAAGAGGAGTGGGAAGAAAAAGAAAAAAGGAAGGGTATTTGTGTGAGACAGAGCGTCATTAAGTATCTGGAGAATGGGTACTTAAACTTAAGCAGATAAAAATCAAATAAATAGATAGATTGCAAAGACAGGAAGGATACCACTCACAGAGCTGTTAGCACCTTCAGTGGTTATTAACTAGGTAGTGTCCTAGCCAGCCCATATCACCACTGAGTCTATTACCGTGTGTGAAGCTTCCCCCTTTCCCTTCTGGGGAAGCCCAGGGAGCACAGGTGGGAAAGGCCACATGGTCCCAATCTGCTGGCTGGGCCCCTCTCCTCAACCCACAGCCCTGAGTCGGCCCCCTTTTCAACCCTTGCCACACCCAACCCTAGCCCCATGCCAGGCACTCCCCTCCAGGCTCCGCCTGGCTCATTTTGTGGTGATGCTGTTCAGAGGGCATGTCCTGCTTTCACACAGTTTTCCATTGTGGAAGCAGTGAGTGACCAAATATCCTTCCTATTTTGATTTGCTGTGAAATCGATGAATGTAGCAGTGGTTGGACACCCAGTTCTGACACTTGAAGAAGTGAGCCCACGGGGGGGACAGGGAGGTTTTTGCGTTGATTTATATCATTGTGACAGTGGCTGATTCCAGCTTTGCTGATGTTAAATGACCTCCAGCACTGACTGCTTCAACAGCACTTCCTGGAGTGTGAAATCAGTTCCCGACCCACTGCCGCTGACCTGGAGAAGGCTGCAGCTTGGACATGTGGCTGGTGACCAAGTCAGGTCAGCCCTCTATGAGGGTATGTCTACACTACATCACTAATTCGAACTAACTTAATTTGAATTAGTTAATTTGAACTAAGCTAATTCGAACAAGTGCATCTAGACCTAAAAACTAGTTTGAATTAGCATTTTGGAAGGAGGAGGGGAAGTATAAAAATATGGTACACCCACATCTTCAGTACTGTGTACAGATGTGATCGCCTCACCCCCGAAAAGATATTTTGGCCTTGGAAAGGGTTCTGAAAAGGGCAATTAAAATGATCAGGGGTTTGGAACAGGTCCCATATGAGGAGAGGCTAAAGTGACTGGGACTTTTAAGTTTGGAAAAGAGGAGACTGAGGGGGGATATGATCATGAGTGGTGTGGAGAGGATGCATAAAGAAAAGTTCTTCATTAGTTCCCATAATAGAAGGACTAGAGGACACCAAATGAAATGAATGGGTAGCAGGCTTCAAACTAATAACAGAAAGTTGTTCTTCACAAAGCAAATAGTCAACCTGTGGAACTCCTTGCTGCAGGAGGCTGTGAAGGCTAGAACTAGAACAGAGTTTAAAGAGAAGTTAGATAAATTCATGGAGGCTGGGTCCATGGAGTGTTATTAGTCAGGGCATAGAAATGGTGTCCCTGGCCTCTGTTTTGGAAGGCTGGAGATGGATGGCAGGAGACTAATGGCTTGGTTATTGTCTTCAGTCCTTCCCCTCCAGGGTATCTGGTGTTGGCCTCTGTCGGCAGACAGGCTAACTGGGTAGATGGACCTTTGGTGTGACACAGTATGGCCATTCTTATGTTCTTATATTCTAAGCTCAGGGCTCAGGGTCAGGGGTCTCACTGGACCACCTTGATTTTCATGCAAACCTGCTCCTGGGTGGCCAGGCTGGTAGCTTCCCTGCCCTAGACGGCCACTTTCCTGTGCCTAGTGCGGAGGTCGTGGACGTTGGAGGCCGCCCCCCAAACCTGGATGTGGTCCAGGATCTCCGCACTTGACCAGGAGGGTGCCCACCTCTTGTGGCCCCGGGTAGGCTCCTGGGAACCATCAGCCTGGTCCCGGGAAGAGGCGGAGGGCTGGGTAGCAGCTTGTGCCATGCCAGGTGCAGGGTCTGCTGGCTGGGTGCTGGCAGGCTTGCACCTGGCACGGGCACCGTAGCCAGACCAAGGCCGTTTAAGGGCTCTGGGGCCGGGAGGGAGGCAGAAGAGTTTCCCTGGTTGTGCCCAGAGTGGCCACCAGGGGAAGCCGGGGGGGGGCACCTGGTACGGGCACTGTAGCCAGACCATGCCCCTTTAAGGGCTCCGGGGCCGGGATGAGGGCAGACGAGTTTCCCTGGTGGTGCCCAGAGTGGCCACCAGGGCAAGCTGGGGAGGGCTAGCCTCCCACTAGTTCGAATTAAGTGGCTACAAAGCCCTTAATTCGAACCACTTAATTCGAACTAGGCGTTAGTCCTCATAGAATGAGGTTTACCTAGTTCGAATTAAGCACTCCGCTAGTTCGAATTAAGTTCGAACTAGCGGTTTGCATGTGTAGCGCCTATGAAAGTTAATTCGAACTAACGGCTGTTAGTTCGAATTAACTTTGTAGTGTAGACATACCCTAAGAGAGCATGGGAAGGCACACATGAAAGCCCTAGAATGTTAAAGGCTCCAACCTATCAGCTCAGAAGGGGTTACCTGAGGTTCATTAGAAACACCCGAATTCAATTAGTTGCCATTCTCGGAAGCGCTTTTTTAAAGCCTCTCCCTTGTTGAGCAAAGGGGATCCCTTCCCCCAATGACAGCAGGGCAACAAGCAACTCCAGGAGGAGAGGCCCTGCTTCTTCCTGCACAGGAAACAGACAAGCCTGAGCATCTGCGAGGGGAAAGACTGAGTCCCCAGGGCAAACCCCAGGTCAATATCCCACCCCAGTGAGTGGGCAAGGGAGGTATCTCCCTTGGTATTTGTGTCCCCTGAAGCAGTTCCTTCTGCTTATTGGAGGGTTACCCTACCCAGAGGCCTACCCTGACAGTACAACCGAAGGAACACAGCGGGGGAAGGCAAATGCTGCCCAGTGTGGCAGCTACCGCTTGATTTATCCCAGGCCCATCTCACCACAGGGAGAAGTTCTGAGGCTGGTCAGACAGAGGTGTCTTGCTGCAGTCTGTA